ATGATTTATTTTGACAGCATTTTTATCCCTTTTCCTCTCTGATTGCCATTAAAGTTTGCATTTGCCTTGCGATTAAAAAATAAGTTTTGTTTGCTTGTTTGCTTGTTTGTTTGTTTTTTTAATATTAATAGCTTACACTGTGTGTACGTATAATATACCCTTCTGCTGGGTACAGTATTCAAAGTCTTCATCTGAAATAACCTAATGATTTTACTCTCCAGAATCAAAATCTCATCTTTATATCTTAATGCATTGCATAACAAATTGAGGTATCACTTTGTTTTTGTCAAAGAAGATGATACATGTCAAGTGTGCTGACAAAATGAGTTGCTTCTTGGATTTGAGCCCTATGGAAATAGAGGTACATCACGCGTAAAGGTGAAGTTTTTACAATTTATAAGTATGGAAAGATAAAAAGCATGTTATGCTCAAAGAATATGACATCAATAGAAAATCTACAAATTTTACCCTTATGTTGATTTTTGGCCAAAATCTCCATTTGTGGATTACGAGAATTAACTCATTTTGTCAGCACGCCTCACATATTATACTTTTTTCAAATTGATTTTTATTTGACATCAAGATCCATCTTGAGTGGACATTGATAGAGAGGTTATGAGTACAGCCTTTTGATAAATATATATTATAATGTATCCGTCCATTATTAGGAACTGCTGAATGTTTTTTTACGCTAATCATTTATAATGTTTATTTATGTGACAGTAATTGCTGTGATTTGCTGTTTTAAAGATAGTCATGTAGTCTTTGCCTTGGCTTTGACTGTCATTATTAAAATTTGTTCTTGCCGCTGCCATTATTAAATCTGATAAGCTTTTATGTCCGACTTTTTCGTCTTTGATTTTGTGATTCCCCCCCCATTAATAACGTACAATAATCATGATTACATTTAATTGTTTTGTATACCGTATTTTTTCTCTTTGTTGAAAGGATTGAAAAGCATTTCTATTTTTGTATACCGTATATTATAATATGTGCAAGGGTGATGCAGTGTATACATAACATAAATATGTCTAAACATGTATTTGTGATGAAGCAATTTTCTTGGAAATTCTGTTATTTATGTTTTACAGAGCTAGGAACAATGGTTTTTGATTTGATGTTTATTAATTTATAACAATAAATAAATACTGAATGAAATGGTATGGAGGCTATTGTTGTTGGGTTTTTTTTAAATATTATAATCTTTTTTAAGAATAAAATGTGTAAGTGTATGTATGCTGTTTGTGTATGTGTGCGAGTACCCAAGTATTTTTAAACCAGCTCGAACTCAAATGAGTACTTGCAGGTGCTATTAATTAAATACTTGAATACTCACTCACCCTTATAGTTATAGTTATGCTGCACAAAGAGATGCTCGTCTATAAAATTAACTTCCCCCATCGGGGCTTGAACTCATGTGCTTTAAGTACAACGACGAAGAGTCTATCCACTACACACAGACAGATGCTTGGTGACGCCAGTTTGAGAAATATGGGAAGGGATCGAACCCCGAATCCTCCGCTAATTACAATGTAGGTAAGTTCACCCCAAGGATATTTTGAATAAAATTCTAAGATCTCTCTTTTTTCTTTCTATTTTTTTTTTGTGTGGGAGAGGGGTAGGCCCTAGTGTTTTACGGCGCCCAACTGCATTATGTGAACGCGCGGGACATTAAAACATTTTGATTTCAGTTGATACGAAATTTTGAATTTTGCCAGGATGGTGTCTGAAGCCTACTCTTATCGATTTTAGACCACCAATTGCGATCTTTAACGTGCGCAACTTGCACATGGGACCTCCGAGATTTTTCGCCTTTATTCGAAAAGGTGTTCGATCTTTCCTACCATAAGATCAGAGGTGTGGCTGAAAGACAGCAGTAAGAGAGCCACGGTGTAGCAGTAGCAGTAGTAGTAGTAGTAGTAGTAGTGATGATGGGTAGTCACAGCTACAGAGTAGCTCGCTCTTCCAATATTTTGGGCTCGAGTCCAATTCCGAATAATTTTAGATTACTCAAATGTGTACTCGAGTAGGCCTACTCGAATCCTGAATACAGAGTCAATAACGTGTTTTGCTGATTCCTAAACTATAGCATTATATTCTCTACACAAAACCAACCTTGCCTAACAAAGTAAAATGCAGAGAAATACAATACTGTACTTTGGTCACTTAAACCGTCGCGAGATCATTATGAAAGAGCTAGCTAGCTGCTTGAAGGAAGGATGTGGGGCAGGAGAGCCAAGGGTAGGCATAAAGAGTAACATTGGTGGACAACAGAAAAACATGAACTAGCCTGGGTAGCCTCACAGAATTGTAGAATTCTGTGGGTAGCCTACAGCAGAATGTGCAACGGCAGCTTGCGACCTGGCTGAAGGGTCATTACTTACTCATTACACGTCAACCTCTCGAGGCAGAGATGACACTCCCAGGTGTTCCTGGTTAATTTTATACTGAATTTAACCAGTGTTGTTAATGATAACGATATACAAAAGGAAAAAAAATAAAAGACAATAAACATAATAAATGTAAAAGCAACCAAAATAAAAAAGATATATTGAA